ATGTGTGACAAAGGGAAAATAAACAATTGTTTCCTCCTACAATCGCTTTCTGTTTTCTGGTATTTGGGATCAAATTTACTTTGTGCTTTCTATGACTGTTTTCCTTCAGAAGTTTAATCTTTTTCTCCTTTGATCAAAATGGGTTTATTGTCTTCTGTTCTTCTGCCATTTTTTGTATTAACTATAAGCCAACTTTGTGAGACGATAACAGGCATCACAAGCGTGAGTCCAAGCAAACAAACAATCTCCATGGAAACTTTTACCACTGTGAAATCTCTTTCAATGCAGTCAATGAGTGAACCTTTTTCCTATGTATGAGTGAACCTTTTTCCTGTGCCACTATGCAAGTCCCTCAACTAAGGAGAAAATGAAGCCTTAAGTGTCATGCTTAAGGAGAAAAGCCCCTGTGTATGTTTCTGAGCTAATTCATATCCACAAACCCTCCCGTACCCTTAGATCCTCTTCTGCAATCCAGCTCACATCACCATCTGCCCAGTTGACTACCATGGGCTCTAGAGCCTTCAGCTGTTCTGCCCCCCGCCTCTGGAACGCTCTCCCCCACGACATTCACAATATTGACTCCCTTCCATTTTCAAATCCTGTCTAAAAACACCTTTTCAAGCTGGTATATTCAGATTCACATTTAATGGTGACCTGCGCTGATGATGACTTTATGATGATGATTTTATACCTAATATTTATAATTATGAATTTTGTCTCGTCCTGAATTGTTTGACTAAATGATCTATGGACACATTGCTGCCGTGTCTGGTAAGGTGTCCTTGAGTCCTCTGAAAGGTGCCTATTCTAATATGGCTGTTTTATTTTTCCTGTGTTTAGTTTGCCAGGATGGTTGTGCTTTCCAAAGAGTATGGATATGTGGTGCTGACTGGCGTTGCCAGTATCATAATGGTCGGACATCTGGCCTATAAAGTTGGCAAAGCCCGCAAGCAGTACAATGTCCAGGTAATCAGAGGCATTGGTGTTTAAATATATAACGTTGATAAGATGAACATGGGGTAATTAGTCTTGTTTAAGTTATCCCTTAGTGACACTGGGTGGATTTTTTTGACTGCACAATTAAAAAGAAAGTGAGTTATATATGTGTATAATCTTAAGTAAATTACTTGAGCTATGGAGAAGGGGTACGACAACATAAGCTCTTCCACCTCCTTTTCAGACATGTAAATATTTAATGATTTATGAGAATATGAATGTTGAGTATGCTTCAGGATTATTGTTCATTTTATTTGTTATTCTTGTTTTGTTTTTTGACATCAAATTAAATAAACCAAATCAAAACAGAAAAAAATAGCAGAATAAACTCTTCCTTCTCATTCATACTGTTTAAAAACCTGCACCCACACATTCAAACAGCACCACTCTACGCCTTGTTTGAATAGTTTCATGGCTGGGCGGTGCCGTCTGTGGCTCATGCACTTCAGAATTGCTTGTACAAACAAACTTGTCTTGCCTTGCAGTATCCTCAGATGTACAGCGACGACCCGGAAACTGGGACCATTTTCAACTGTATCCAGCGTGCACACCAAAACACGTACGTTTGAGCTGAACTATGAGCAGCACAACTTCACTTAGCACACACTGCTGCACTGATATTGTGCCACGCTCTCATGACTCATAGTAACAATGAGAAAAGAGGTGAAAGTTAACATGCTGTTATAACCTCTCAACAGCCTGGAGATCTACCCCGCCTTTCTCTTCTGCCTCACAATTGGTGGTGTGCAGTGTCCTGTAAGTTTGTTTCTGCATATAGCACCAACATACATGCACACAAAATCTGAGTAATACTATTTTCATTTCCTTATAAAATCCTGTGTTACCTTTCTTGTTTGTCTGGTTACCACAGCGTGCTGCCAGCGGACTTGGAGTTATATGGATCATAAGCAGAGAGGTGTACGCCCATGGATACTCCACAGGAGGTAAGAAAATGTTGGGACCTGCTTTTGTAACATAACACAAGGTGCACAGGTGCAATTATTATTATTATTATTATTATTATTAATACAATTCATCCCAACCAGATCCTAAAAAAAGAATGCGGGGAGCGTTTGGCAACGTCGCTTTGCTTGGGTTGATGCTGACCACCGTCAGCTACGGCCGCCACCTGCTCGGCTGGACGGGACCACGGTTCCACCCCTTCCGTCACCTAGACTGTTGCTAGTGAGGAAGTCTTCAGGATGATCTCACTCAGTCATTTACCTTATCATCAAAGCCATTCTATATAACCCATATACCTTATAACATGTGTGCTAACCTCTGACCAGTTTAACGTTTAAAGTCAGGTGAAGATCTTGTTCTGAAGTGACCCGACTGGTTCTCCAGGAAGGGAAATTCTTTATGTAGGATGCTGCATGGGGTGTATTCACTAGTTGGCACTCCCACAGCATGCAAGATCTGACAGTTTGTCTTGATAGGATGTTCAACTCCACCCTGAACTAAGTTGGCCCCATGACATGAATTATCTTTCATATTTTTGCAACTAACAAATGAAGATGTAATAAAATGGGGCGTTTAAGATTGATTGACTTTGTGACAGATGTTTGTATCAGCTTGTCTGAAAAAGTTAGATTTTGCACTCCTTTGATTATCTTTTTTATTTTAATTTTTTTTTTGGATGTTTTTTTCTCGTACTGAAAACAGGGTTTTGACTGGTCACACTGATGATATTAAATGTTATACATTGGTTATAAATAATCTTGTGCCGGTTTCATTCAGAGTTGAATGGGTATTGATTGAATGTGGGCTTGGTTAACACTAGTGTGTTTAAGGGAGCGGCTTACTTTTTAAGCTGAGATACTGTTCAAAGTTCACGTTACTTGTGTAGGCAGGTGGATTTATATCTCTGCAGAGCAGTTGGCCTCAAAGCCAGCTATAAAGAAAACGCCTGTCACACAGGTTACAATGACACAGCATTAAAGCTTAAAGGGACAGTTTACCCTGAAATCAAAAATACAGATTTATCTTCTTACCTGTAGTGCTATTTATCAGTCTAGATTGTTTTGGTGTGAGTTGCAGAGTGTTGAAGATATCAGCCATAACACTGTGTGCCTTTCTCCAGTATAATGGAACTAGATGGCACTCAGCTTGTGGTGCTCAAAGTGCCAAAAAATCCATTTGAAAAACTCCAGAAATCATGACCTGGTTACTCAAGATAATCCACAGACCTTGTTGTGAGCAGTTTCATGTAGGAACTATTTTCTTTCTACTGTGCTACACCCGCCAACCGTATCACTGCACAGAAGGAAGCATGCATCTACTCATGGGCTAGAGGCATGTGCTCATGACAGCACAAGATGTAAACATTAATGGCGCCCTGCTCGCATAAATGGATCATTTAACAGGCCTACAGGGCACAGACCCAGAGGCCCCCCTGACCTTCACCTGCAAAATGTCATGAGAGGTATGAAATAAATACAAAAGGGTAAAAACAACCAAGAGATAAAAACTGACTACAAAGAGACACAAAACAACCCAAAGAAGACAGAAAACAACTTTAAAGAGATACTAAATGATGACAAAGATACCCAAAATGACGACGAAGATACATAAAAAAAAACTGTGAGACACAAAATGATGACAAAGATACATAAAACATCCGACAGAGGCACAAAATGACGACAAAGAGGCACAAAATGACTACATAGAGGCACAAAATGACGACAAAGAGACACAAAATGACTACAAAGAGACACAAAATGACTACAAAGAGGCACAAAATGACAGAGGCACAAAGTGACTACAAAGATACATAAGACAACCATATAAGACACAAAATGACCCCGAAGTGACACAAAACGACTTTAAAGAGATACCAAATGACGACAAAGAGGCATAAAATGACTACATAGAGGCACAAAATGACGACAAAGAGACACAAAATGACTACAAAGAGGCACAAAATGACGACAAAGAGGCACAAAATGACAGAGGCACAAAGTGACTACAAAGAGGCATAAAATGACTACAAAGATACATAAAACAACCATATAAGGCACAAAATGACCCCAAAGTGACACAAAACGAATACCAAGAGACACAAAATGACTTCAAAGATGCATAATGACTACAAGGAGACACAAAATGACTACATACAAAATTTCTACACGTACATGCAAAATACCAAAAACAAAAACAATTTAGGTGGTGTTTCTCTTTAATGGCCTCTTCCTCAGCTGAGCTGTAACATTAGCCAGCTCAGTGATGCTAGGTGAGCTAGCAGAAGATGCTTCCCTCTGTGCAGCGATACAATCGGAGGGTGTAGTTCGGAAGAAAGAAAGTAGTTTCTACATGAAACAGCTCACAACAAGGTCTGTGGATTATCTTGAGTAACCAGGTCATGATTTATGGAAAGAGACATTGATGTTAAGTGTTTTAAACATATTCTTGTGGTGCTTTGAGCACCACAAGCTGAGTGCCATCTAGTTCCATTAATAGATTTTTAATAATAACTAGATATCACACACCAAGATGGCGCCTATTGCTGGAGTTGCTCGCCTGGGCCATACACCAAAAAAGTTTTTTCGCTTCCAGGGTAACTTCCTCAGTATGCAGCCGACTGAATACAGTTGTGTTTCTCTCACTGAGTCCTGGCTCTTCTAGTAGACTTAACATTGGGATGTCATGGATTTTAAATTGCTTTTCTCAGCTTGAGGAAAGTTTTACATATATAAAGCCATCATGTATTAAAAATCCAGAGTAGAAAGATTAAAAAATGCCCTTGTTTGAAGTCTGAGGTGTCCTGTCAGCAGTTTTACGGACTCTATGGTGGTCCATAGGGAAAATTATTTTTGGGCTGCAATACCGCGAGTGGCCACTGGGAAAAATTTGCTGCAAGGCTGAGCAGCTTTACTGGGGGCCTGGCTCCATTATATTTAAGAGAAGGCAGATATCGCCTGGGGTGAACTGTCCCTTTAAGAACTCACCCACATATCATAGCTGTAAGATCCTCCAGCATACCCTCTAAGCATGTGCAACGGACATAATTTTGGTTTCTGTTTTTATTATCAAACAGGAAATCTGAATATCAATACATTTTTACAGTCCACATTTCAATGGCATATTATCATACATCACTGTTGGCACTTAACAGCAAAGTAACTCAGAACACACTAGTTTAAAAACTGTGATACAACAGCTCAGTTCCAGCACGTTTGCATGATACTCCAGCTAATACAGATACAGATAACAACGATCTAAACTCTGTGCCTCTTCTCGTTGTCTCCACTTAAAGCATCTGAACAAACACCTTGTGCAGAAACAAATACATTCTTTATAAATAGGCATTTTACTACACATTTAACAATAATAGTGTGTTTTACAATTTGCTCATGTTAGTGTTTATTTAGTGTAGCTAGGTCTCTTCTCAGTGTCACTGGAAACAGAATAACCAAATTTTTATATACCAGCATCAGACCATGTTGACAAAAGATTCATAATAGGTGTAATTACACATTAAAAGGCAACGACACTAAATATTTTCCACATGTAATTTGGGGTAACTTAATGATAAATTAGTGTGAGTGGCTTCTTCTGTAAGATTACTGCTGTGTCTGATTTTCCACAGATATGGCTGTTGAATTGTAAAATCCCTTCTTCTGATTTTTGTGTTGATTTTCTGCAAGACCTCAGCTTTAAGACAACATGTGCCACCTGGCAATTTGAAAGTGCACTTCACTTACATTTGGTCACCAAAGGGGTCATAATTTATATTTCTTAATCATTTTAGGCATAGTGGCAACTTTCCCACGTGTCTCTTGCTCTCTTATTTCTCGCTGGTTAACCTGAGGTTGTCTTATTTATACAGGAGGATTAATGCAACCTTGATCCACATTACCTCAGATGTCCCCTAGGGGGCACTGCGACCTTTCATGCCACATTAAAGTGCTGTGCATACATGGGGAGTCAGTCAGGGCTGCAGAGGCACTGTAACTCAAACATATAGTTTCCACTAGACTGGAGCTCTTCAGAAATTTAAAGGGAATGTGGAAAAAAGTGCTTCTGAAACCTCCCATTTGAAAGACTTTATGGATCCTTCTCATGGATCCACTGATAAATATTTTCTTTTTAATCACCGATCCAAAACTCGTCTGCAGAGATGCAGCTGATTCCAGTCAAAGGCTCTTCTCAGGTCCACGCTGGTCTTCCTTTGGTGTCTCCGTCTGATCTCTGAGTAGTGGAAGTGACTGATGGGATACTCCCTCAGTAGGTGTATCTGGAGAGAGGCGTGTCCTCCATCAGATCGTCCTGGAGAAGACGATTGAAACAAGATATTGCTCTTGTTAGAATGACTTTACAAAGGTGAGGACATTTTTTTTGTTTATACATTTTTGTCCGTTGCACGTACCCCTTGGAAAAGCACTGACCATACTAAAACGCAGGATTTGATCACTTCTGTTTGGCAGGTTATTTTTGTGACAGTGACTTAAGACTGAGGGATGGAAGAGCAGGAAAGTTATGTCCCAAAATTTTCTCCATTCATGTTTGATATTTTAAAGTTCACAGTGGATTTTCAAAGCATTAACTGTGAGGTGTCTCAAGGTGATTTAGGGTTGAAATTTATGGCACAGCAATTTAGTATTACACTACCATAATATTAACAGAGAGATAGATTGTAAAGGTTCTCTATGTGACATTAAGAGCAATAATATAGCAGAAAACCACTATTTGCTGTAAAGATAAAGTGGAGATATGGTTAACACCATTAGCTCTGTCAGCACTGTTGCAGTTGTTAAGTGATGTTTATGGCGTTCACTTGCTGATGCGACACCCTTCAAACACGATGTTACATCAGCAAGTTAGAAATTAATGTGGCCAAGAGCAAAGAATTTATTATTTGCACGAAAAACAGAGCCGGTTTCACTCGATGGCCAACGTGTTGAAACTGTGGAAAATTTTAAATACCTAGGTATCGTTCTGGACTCCCATGTGAGCTTCTCTGGAAATACTGAGTATATTTTCAAAAAATGCTCCCATCGACTTTATCTTCTTAGGAAACTCTGTAGCCTTGGTGTTAGTCAGGAGATCTTAGAATTAGTGTACCAAACTATTTTACTAACTTTTTACTTTCCTGTCTGGTACGGTCACCTTAACTATACATCCAAGAATAAACTGTCTAGGATTGTGACACTAGCAAATAAAATAGTTGGCAGGCAACAAAAGCCGCTGACCCAACTCTTCACAGAAAGGACGAGGTAGAAAGCGAGACGAGTCTTGGGAGATAGCTCTCTTCAGCCAGTTTGAGCTCTTGAACTCCAGGAGGCGCTCTAGAGTCCCTCTAGCAACTAAAAAATTATTTCAAAAGGCCTTCATCCCGATTGCCATCAATATCCTTAACTCAATAAAGTGACTGATGAGTTTTAAACCACAGACAGACAATGAGCTGATCTAATGTGTTAAGTGTTTTGTAATGACTTTATATGCTTGTCTTACTGACTATTCATCTGCTTTTTGCAATGTTGTCTTTTGTGTTTGGTGAGCAGAAGACAAATTTCCACCCTTGGTTCTATTCAGGCACTGTTAGCTGCTAGCTGCTGGATCGGCCACCGCCACGCTGAGAACTGTGTCCAGATGACTCATGCGCCCTGAATTTGAAAAAGATCCAGAAATGGTGCTGCAGAGGTCAAAATATCCTGACTTTTAATTCATAGTATGGGCCAAGCTCCAAAACCACTGGATCCTACATTACCCATAATACAACTGGATAGTGTCGTTCTTTAGACCCTCCTTGCCTAGTAAACAAATGTTTCAAATGCTACACCCCCAGTTTATGACAAACACAGGCTTTCTGTTAAAAATCTGAAACCTAAAGCCCAAGCTGACGTAATGATGATGACATCATCAGGGCATCTGAGCCTAGCAGCTTTTTGTAATTGTTTTCAACTACTGTGAAACATTTCACTTGCTGCTTTGCTAGGCTTCTTGTGACTTCCGCTTTATGTGCCTGTGTTTTTGAAAAGTTTGACTCAAAACAGAAAAGCCCCTGACGCCAACGTTTTTCCCCATTGCCTAGTTCTTAGGAATTGAGAGTTCGGTCTTCTGGGGTGGCAGTGACAACAGATTAGCGGTGGTGGTTGCTGGATATTTGGAGCTATATGTCTTCACCAATCATAACAGAAAACAGCAACACAGGGTAAAAAGCATGTTAGCAAAAAGCTAGTCAGTTACTTAATGTAAAACCTTAACTTTAGAAAGTAATTGAGGCTACAGTTTGTTTAGACATGTCTTACCATTGGTAGATCCTGCAGCCGATGGAACTCTGGGTGGTTTGTCCGCTGGCGGAACTTGAGGAAGAGGACGACAAAGACGATAGCAGTGGTGACGATGAACACTGACAGCAGGCCAGCCAGCAGGGGGTCTAGAGGTGAGTTTGAGCGGTAGCGGGGCCCCTTGAGGTCTAAATGACACAAACAAGCCCATCCATTATCAAACAGCTGACACATTTCTAAAATAGACTGAGAAAATAAAGCCAAAGTAGGAGGCTTGAAACAAAAACTCATCACCTTCATCTCCAACATTAAGCTCAGGCGGGACCTCGTGGTGTGTTGGCCCAGCAGGACCCTGGCCTGGAGCTGAGGTCAGAGGGAATCCTGTTGCTGTCGGCTGCATGGTGGCTGTGGTCAGTGATTCAGACTGTGGCTGGATGGTGGAAGCGTGGGCTGTGGAGCTCGTATCCCGCTCTGTGTGGGCTGGCTGAGATGAAAAGGTGGCGAGGGCATCTGTGGTCAGAGAGGCTCTGCCTCCAGTGGTGGAGATTTGCTGCGGAGGGGTGGTGCTCTCGACTGTCGGCACAGATGAAAGGCTGGGATGTGAAGGCAGCGCTGTATCAATTCAAAACAGTACAGAGAATTCCTCGCATCAGCTAAAGGAAACTTTACACCGACCTGCTCATGAAAACTGACTCACTCCAAATGACATTAAAGCTGCTATACATGTTTTTGTTGTCAGGTCCAACCTGTCCTGCACGACAATGCCAAGACACCCTGTTAGAAGCAGAGCCAGCGTAAAGTTAATGACCTGTTTCACACACTGTATTTTCATGCATCAAATAACAGCATGATAATAGTGGTGGTGGATATCACACCTTGCTTACTACGCATTTGTCCAGTTTGGCAGTGGATATATCACATTAGCATTCAGCAGAGGGGTATGAAAATTTATGAGGACTCCTCACGCCCTGCAAACCCTTTATTCAATGCTCTCCCTGCAGGAGTCTTCAGACTAAAACATCTTGCTGCCACAGTAGCACTTAAAGCAATCCACATCCCAAATACTTTACTGGTTTTATAACCTTTAAAGCTAGGTCTATGCTCGCAATAGCCAAAAATGACATCATGTCTTTAGTGTCGAGCATGAAGGCTCCAAAAGTTGTTGTGGGGCGTGGTTGTTCACTACTGAATTTTTGTAACTTGGCGCCCATTGCACATGCTGCTTATTCCAGTTCAACAGGGAAGACTAGCTGAGTAGGTTGCTACGACTCTTCATTGAGAGACCACAGTGACAGTCAAATGGCTTTAAATTCTCTGAAACAAAAAGCCAGCACACTGGGGAAAGAAGAGACTTCTTGCTGCAGGGTGTGGAAGAACAGTATAGATGGCTGCAAAAGCTTAAAACAATCTCATGAAAACAGTGGCGACCCGGGAAACAACAAAGCGATAAAAAACAATTTCAACTTCGGGGTAAGTGACAGTGATAATTAAAGTACACAAATGCAATGTTTGATGGTATGTCAGTGTTTATTACGTTTGCCAGGCAGCCTACTTTTCCAGTAACATTCTCCAGCTACCACTTGTTGACTTCTTGACTATTCACAGGATACTGCTTCTACTGTTTTCACACAAAACTAAACTGTAATACATTAAACTGTGACTTTCTTGACTTGAAAAATTAGGTTTTAAATTGACAAACATCATATGTGTAATTGACCCTTTGCTAAGTCCCACCGTCGGATGCAGACTGGCCAATCAAAACGTACCATCGGGCCGGCACAGACCAGGGTCCGACAACAACCCAACTGGACTCCATTGCCTCTAATGCAGTCGTTTCAGATTTCCTTCATTTTCAGGCTGGTTTTGTGGATTTGGAGCTAAATGTTGTGCCTGGGGCACGTCATGTATTAATTATACTTGTTACCTGGAGAGGTTGGAAAAAGATATACATTTCTCCCCTGTTCCAAAACCAAAATCAAACCTTGAAAAGTGTAGGGTTAGCTCGCTAGCTACTGAAGATATAGCCTGACCGACCCTGCTGTACATGAACCAGCAAGGCAACTTTGGTGATATTCAATCAGCTGTGTGTCATCGCAGTGTGTGCAGATGAACAGTGCTTGACTTGCCCAGGAACTCCCTGACAGTCTGGCGGAGGCATGGGGGAATCAAACACCGTTAATCTGCACACACTGCGATGACACACAGCTGGTTGAATATCAGCAAAGTTTCCCTTTATATTCATTGTCTTCTGTGGCGATCAGCAGTGATGTGATGGTTCACTTTTACACTGTGATCTGTAGCCTATAGTTCGGCTTTAGCTTCTAACTATCTTTGTCTTTTAACCTGTTGTTGCTGCTGAGTCAGTTTGACATCCTGGATATATCCTTCAAACACAGACTGTAGACCCCTCTGTCTGCTTCTCTCTGGAATCACTGTTTTGTTTTTCCAAAAATAATAATAAAAATTTCGTCAGGGAGGGGCGGGGCTTAGCGAAAGGACAATTCATGGCACAGTTCAGACAGAATCAAAAAACTATTTGACTCTTTCCATTGACAACAGCTGGACATAGTGTTTCTGAATTAAGGTACCATAATGGACACTGGAAGGAGCGGGACTTTGCCTCACTATTGCATTATAACTTACAGGAGCTTATAATTTCTCATCAGTCAGTGCTTTATTCTTCCAATTTTTATTTTCTCTGTGAAACGACTGGATATACGTGAGGATAAACAAGCTAACTGCCTTTTCCCTCCTTCAACATGAGTATATTCTTACTCCACTTTGAGCACATGTGGCTGTTTACATCATGTTTGACAGCTCATGCTGACAGCTGAAGAGTTCAAGGAATTCAAGGCGTGTTCATGGAGGTTTATAAGCTGTGTGATTACAAATCGGACTACCTTTTTACTGTTTGTGTAGGGGCAGGCAGTGATTGGCGCTCCTGATGTGGGCAAAAGACGATAGCAAAGAATTGTTTATGACACCATATTAGGATTATTGTTGTGTGTATTCTGCATTAGGTCACAAAGTAACTAAGAGTAATAACTGACTTTAGCTTTTGAAGTGAGAACCTCAAACAGCAGCTTTACACATTACTCTACAGGGACAGACGGTGTCGACAGCAGCTAAAACGGGGACACGGGTGTGATCTGGATGACATTACGTCATGTTGTTTGTTATTTCTGAGCCACTCAAAGAGGCAACACGGCATCAGTGGAGAGGGTTATATTTATCTGATCTATAAAAGGGAATCTCTTAAATGAGGTTGCGACACACATTCTCAATCTCAGCGTAGTCATGTGGGGGTCAGGGGACGAATATGTTCCTGGATTGCTGCTGGCAGTAGAGTCTGAAAAGAGATTGTCTGTTTGCAAACAGGCAGCTTTTAGTGTGTGGGGTGTTTTATTTTAAGAATCTGGATGAAGAAAACAGACTGGACTGTAAAATTATAGATGCACACTTATAGAATTATGGATGAAATGATGACTGTAATTTCTATGTTTCTGAGTTAAAAGCCTGAGCTTTTAAAAAGAGGAATGCATGCAGGTTTGTCTTGGTTACCTGAAGGTGAAGTCAGGGCGACAGGTGCAGTCGTGTGTTGAGATGTGGCCTCTGCAGAGCTTGTGTGTGTTTTATATTCTGCATCTGTCCCAGTCTCTGAATGGACTGTCCCTTCAGTCATGGCAATGGTAAAGGTTTCAGTTGAGATTTCGTCCTCGCTTGCAGGATTATGTGTCCGCTGTGAGAACTTGTTCCCAGGATCCTCTGTCAGGTCAGGAGATGCTGAGATTCCAGTGTGACTCTCGTCGGCAGCCAGGGTGAAGACAGGAGGCAAAGCACTGCTCTGACCTAGGAAATAAAAGAGAAGTTATAAAAAAGGGCTGATGGATGAATTGTTTCGTCGTCAAGTTTGGGTCTAAAAAAATCCTCAAAGCCTAAAATTCAAAATTCAGATATCTTGTTTTTTGTTCCAACAGTAAATATTCAGTTTACTGTCACAGACTGGGAAAAAAAATTAATCACATGTGATGAGTTGGACATTTTTCCTTAAATGAAGTAGGGTGTGCACATACGTGTCATTTACACTAGAGATGGTGGGGACACGTCGTCACCATTTCTTGGAATAGCCAATTTTAACCCCATTGCTTTTTAAAAGCAGAATTTTTTTAAACATGTTCTGAAATAGCTTGCACCTGAAAATGTTTAAGGTCCAGATTTAGGAGCATCTGTTTTCAAAAACTGAATATAATATTCATAACTATATTTTTATTGGTTTATTATCACCTGAAACTATTGCTGTTATTCGTTACCCTAGAATGAGACGTTTATATCAACATATGGAACAAGTCCTCTTCTGTGGCGGCCATGTTTTTCTACAGTGGCCCTGAACAGACAAATCAAACACTGACTCTAGATAGGGCTGTTCACATTTTTGCATGTGCCACAATAGGCCTACATGCTCGGCACACTGGAGAGGTTTCAGTTGGTTGCAATGTTGCAATGTCACCACTAGATGCCACTAAACCCTACGAACTAGACCTTTAACAAATGAGAACGCTTTGTGAAAGGTTTATTTGCACAGTAAGCCAATGTACAATGCAAATATAATGTAAATATAGAGGAAACATTTGTGTGCAACACACTCTCACACCTAAATGAGGGCCCTAAATAGGTTTTGATTTCCACTGACTTCCAAAACGACTTACCTGTTTTAACGATTGCAGTTTTAAAAACATCCTCAACATCATGTAGTTTTTCAGTCCAAAACTACTTGGTTAGGTTAAGACAACAAAACTAGGTAATAAAGTTTAGAAAAAAACATCATGGTTTGGCATTAAATAAGTACTTTTGTCACAAACAAAAATTTTGTCACTAGCATGCTACACTATGTTTTTATTGAAATAAGTCAACATTGACAGCGGGATGTGAACACTGGTCTCCTGGGTGAAAGTCCTATGTGTTTGACCCATCCACGACTTCTCCCACCCACCCTATAAAGGCTTCTTGGATATTTGTACAACATAACAAGGACTGTTGCTTTTTTTATGCTACATTACATCCATTCCTCCTCTGCTCCTGTAATAATTACTACAGCCAATAGTGGGTGCCACCTCAAAATAAACATAAGAATGGGTCATAATGAGGTGCTTGCACAGTCAACCTTTGTGGCTGTTTTTTTGCACTGTGCACTGTCAAAAAAAAAAGTAATGCGTAAAAAAATGTGTGCCGATCAGTAACTTAAACAAATTCTTGACACAGTTTCTTCTTGTCCAAGTTTTTGATTGTCTCTCTGTGAACATGACAACACATATGAGCCATTAAAGTCAAGGGGTTATAGATTAATTAAGACCAATGAGGTGTCATTGACAAAAATAGGTGCCAAGTGCACATTTGAAGAGATAACTCCAACCTTGTCACATATTGATGTTTGGTCATGGACTTTCCACGTCCACATACAATGTGAAAGGTACCCTGGGTGCGTTGGTTGTTGATGTTCTGGGACACCGTGTCAAGTTCTGCCTGTTACATCCATTGTCCTCTTTCAAAATACACTTTCGTTTTCACAGGAAATTTAATGTTTTCCTTCAACAACAAACACACATGGTTAGTTTAGGAAAAAAGAACAGGGTTTGGCTTTACAGTCTTACGGGACCTGAACAACCGCTCTCCCAGGTGAAAGTCAGTGTTTGTTGGACCCATCCACCACCCCTCCTTCCTGCCTCAGTTGGACTTTTGCTGCCTTAACTTTCATCCTTGTCCCACCGCATTTCCCCCTGATGCTGCCGGGTGCTGTTAAACTATAACGGCAACTGGCCGTGTATCATGCCAATATTAATGGATGCCTTTTTTTGTTGGTTTCTGACACCACAAGTCACAGGTCAAGCGTCGGATTTTGACAACTTCGGAGTGAGACTGGGCTCCCTAAACAGAAGACGCAGGAGAAGATGAAAGAACATCATGTCTGCGTGTGCTGAGAAAAGCTGATCTTTAGGAGAATTTATTTTAAAGTGAAATACAGAATACTCGAGAGCCTTACTGCATTTTATTCAATGATATTTTATATTATGACTTGTCATCTGCTGCTTGCATTTTGTGTTTTCCTTTTCATAAATAAAGATCAATTTGTGAAGAAAAATTGAAGCTCAAAATTTCCTGGAGGGGGGACCCCCAGAGCCCTGCTTAATGTTTCCCCCACACTTTTGAAATGAAAGCTACGTCCCTGGTTGTGCATATATTAAAAGTTCAAATAAATAAATAACTAGGATACACAGATCAAGAGTAACATGAGCATCCATACAGAGAAAGAAAATGTAAATTATGCACTGAGGTGCTGAGCGGACTGTAAGAAGTTAATAAAATAACTGAACATAATGATAATAATAATAAAATGTAACCAACAGTCTGCAGCTCTGCGTGAACTTTCCATAAGATCAATAGGAGCATCATGTGAGGAATCGATGAGGGCTCCAACTCGCGTCAGCAGGATGTCAAGTCCGTCCACATCAAACACAAAGACACACACACAGACACAGACACACACACACGCGTCCGGGGATGACACCTTACCTCTTGTCTGCGATGAGCCGGTAAGCACCACCAACACGCAAAACGCCAAATTCATTTCAAATTTCATCTCCTCCGCGGCCTCCTCCTGCAGATCACAATAAAACACACAGAGCTAAGCGGGCTCTCCACAGCGGCTCTGCTTCTTAGCTCTGAGGTTGTTTCCGTTACGTGATTTGACAGGGCACATCATCAGCGCTAAAAATATCCTGAGGGAGTCGGGCAGAAGAGAAGCAGGGGTGGGGCCGCGCGGCAGGCTGCATGCGGGCGGCGGCAGCAGAATGGGCTGCTGCACGCGCTTTATTCCTAATCTATCTACAAATGTCACTCTCCTGCTCTTTGTTTTTCCTGCCCGTCACTCATGTCTGCATATTCCTCCGACATGCATCAGTTTGCAGCCGCACCGCTGCTCCAATCAGCTGTCAGTGCGTCAGAGGCGCAGTTGTGTGCGTCAGGAGCGCCTGTTGTGGAGCGCAACTTTCACTGTGTTCATGATTATTGTGGGCTCCACTGTTAGTATATAGACATTGAACCGTGATAGGTGAATAGGGTGTCAGCTGGTGGTAATGTGAGACAACTTTTTCAGCCTCCTCAGAGGTCAGTGTGTCGTCACGCCTGAGCGCACTGCCCACATGTGTACTGTATGGACAGCTGAATGACCCGCTGCGTCCTCTGTCAGCGTGCTCTGACACACTTCAGAGGACAGTGTCTCCTCGTTTTAATCACTTCTCTCTCTCTCTTTTTTTTGGGCCGATCAGGTTTTGATTTCTGAGGGAAACTGCAACAGGGAGGCACCTTCACGCTGCGCCAGATGGAGCCTCCAGCCAATCCGGGAGACAGCCCGGTGGAGTTGGAGTTGACGGTGGAGAATGTGGAGTCGGTGAGTTACTTGTCAATAATCAGACGCTTCACCAGGCGACTGTTTATTGAACTGTACCTACAGGTGGAGCTGCTGTAGGACCACTCATACACGAATTTGAATACATATGTGTGCCACAAAGAATTGCATCATCTCATATTGATTTATATATTCTATTTGATACAATAACTAATGTAAAAATAAAACAGCAGCAGTTCCACCAAATAGGAGCTGTCTGTTTCTTAACTGTAGCTCAACATAGGGGAGATTAGACAAACTGGACATTTTGTAACATGATACCAGCTATAAGCATATGCTGTCCTAATAATAACTAACACCATGTGCCTTGGATTAGTTGCCTGGCAACACTTTTTTTTTCACAACTCTATTCAAACAATTGGACATGCAGCATGCATGACTATTGGTGCAACTCAGCCATTCAATTAAAAATGACTCCTGTGTAAAGAAGTGTCATGAATCAACCTGTTACACAACGTAAAACACACACTGTCATTACTATATCTCCTCAGTCAAAACAGAGGAAATAATAATACCAATAAACTTTATCTAGATACCATCTGTCATACAAGAAATGCTTTACAATAATGGCATTACATGCTCAGAGTGCTTCACATGGAAACCAGCACCGTGTCACCTCAGCAGCACCTAAATCATAAGATAATAAAATTGTAAAACCAAGTAAGAAACAATCATTTAAAATAATTTTCAGATTCAGATTCAGATTTATTAATCCCACCAGGGCAATTTGTTTAATAGCTTGCCTTGCACACATACTATAACATACAGTTATGCAAAGACACATAAATAGATGAGTAACTAATAAAAAATATACCAAGGAGTTCAGTGGAATAAAGGAATTTATAGTTGTTGTTTTTTTAAAAAAGTTAATAGACTAATTATCTATAAAAGAAATAAGAAAACAATAAAAACATCCATCCATTCATTTTCTAACTGCTTATCCTCTTGAGGGTTGCGGGGGGGCTGGAGGGCAGCTGACATTGGACGAGAGGCGGGGTACACCCTGGTCAGGTCACCAGACTATCACAGGGCTGACACATAGAGACAGACAGCCATTCACGCTCACATTCACACCTACGGACAACATAGAGTCACCAATTAACCTGCATGTCTTTGGACTGTGGGAGGAAGCCGGAGTACCCGGAGAAAACCCACGCTGACACGGGAAGAATTTGCAAACTCTGTACAGAAGGGCTCCCCCACCCGGGATCGAACAATAAAAACAATTCAAAAAATATTTACAGGTAATTTAAAAGATGAATTGCAGTAGCGTGAAGTGTAAAAGGAAGGAGTTTCAGGCCCACTGATACATTTTTTGCTTTCTTTTAAAAATATGTAGCTAATTGTCTTCTCTGATATCTATAGGTCGTGTGTTTTATAGATTTGAGGCATAACTGACAGAGACCGCATCCCTGATTTTCTTTCAGCTGTTGCTGGGAACCTCCAATAAACCAGCAACAGATGATCGTGTTCTTAGAGGCAACTAGTTAACAAGGGAGTTAGCACTATAGGTTGGTCTTAGCCAATTTAGGGGCTAGGACCAAGAAGATATCAAGTGTTGTCATGATTTTGATCCACTCTGACGTCCACATCAATATCAATTATTACCAAATATTTTTTTGTTCAAGTGTACCCTTTGCATTGGTTCTTCTCTCCCCCTGCAGGCTCTCTACCAGCTGTACTTTGACCCAGACATGGCAAATAAGAATGTAGCCCAGAAGTGGCTGACCCAGGCCCAGGCCTCTGCGCAGGCGTGGCAGTTCTGTTGGGCCCTGCTCGGCCCTGACAAGGTTGGTGTGCTGCTGTGCTTCTGCTCAGACATCTTTACAACTAGTCTGCGACTGTTGCAGTGTGCAAGAATATTAGGCAGCGTTAAGAAAGACACACACATAATAAGTGGCGGTCTGGCAATCCTTCCCTAGAAAATTCTAAGTGTTAAATGCTTCAAAGAACAATGTTTAAGATTTAGGGAGATACAGTGGCATCTAGCAGTAGGATTGCAGATTGCAACCAGCTGAAACTTCTCCTGGTTAGGATTCCCTCAGTGTTTATTGTGCAGGAGGTTTTTGCTGGGAGCCAAAGTATCCACAGAGGTCTCCTCCTCTTCCAAACAAACAAGGAAAATTTAGTTGTCACTGGATATTGGTAGGTACATGTCCCTGGCATCCTTACCCAATTCTGTGCCCTTGCAGTATCTCCATAATTTGAGTCTGTCTCTTTCCAGCTTCCAGAGGTTCAGTTTTATGGTGCCAGCACCCTCCACACCAAGATCTGCCGTCACTGGAGCGACCTCCCCACAGACCAACATGAGAGCCTGAGGATGCAGCTCCTCTCCCACATCCTTCATTTCTCCTCAGGGCCCAAAATGGTGCTAACCAGGCTGTGTGTCGCCCTGGCCTCTATGGCTCTTAACTTAATTCCACAGGCTTGGTCCCAGCCGGTGGCAGACATGGTGAGGGCCTTTCAGCCACAGAAGCCTGACTCTGAAGGCAGCACTGGTGCAGAGGCTTCCCAGGACCCTCACGCACACTGCCTCGCGCTGCTGGAGCTCCTCACCGTACTTCCAGAGGAGTTCCAGAGCAGCCGGCTGACTCAGGCTCGTCGTGCCCAGCTGAGGGAAGCCCTGGCTGCGGAGTGGGCGGTGGTGTGTCCCATGCTGCGTCAGCTGCTCCAAAGCCAGGACTCCTCTGACCAGGTGAAGGAGAAGGTGCTCCGCTGCCTGTCCAGCTGGGTGGGGCTGGACGTGCCGTTAGGGGAGAGTCATGAACTGGTCCAGGACTGTTTCACTGCGCTGTCCAACTCAGAGCTGTTTGATACAGCTGTGGAGACGATAGTCAACGCCATCTCACAACCTGACAGCCAGAGGTGAGAAACACGCTGCAGCATACATTCATTAAAGGGACAGTTCACCCCAAAATCAAAAATACATATTTATCCTCTTACCTGTCGTACTATTTATCAGTGTAGATTGTTTTGGTGTGAGTTGCAGAGTGTTGCAGATATCAGCTGTAGAGATGTCTGCCTTCTCTCCAATATAATGGAACTAGATGGCGCTCAGCTTGTGGTGCTCAAAGTACCAAAAAATACATTTGGAAAAACTCAACAGCAATGTCTCTTTCCAGAAACCATGACCTGGTTACTGAAGATAATTCACAGAGCTTGTTGTGAGCAGTTTCATGTAGGAACTTCTGTCTTTCTACCAAACTACAACCACTAACCGTATCATTGCACAGAGGGAAGCATGCAACTACTGCCAGAAAATAATCATTATCTTTGATTGTAGGGTCAACTGTCCCTTTAAGGTCATAGTCAGATTCCAGGCATGTGAATCCGAACATGTGTGTGCAGGTACATCAATGCTCTGGTCAGCTTGATGCCTCTGGTGTTGGGCCTCCATGACCAGCTGAAGACAGCGGCTCAGGATGGGGACATGGAAACCTCACATGGGATCTGTCGCATTGCTGTGGCCATGGGGGAAACACACTCCAGGTGAACACAGATAGGCCTACGCACCCTGCACACACGCTGCCATTCTTTAACCCAGCTTCAGGAGATTGTTTTTATTTCTTAATTTGGATCAATGTGTTTGTGCATGACAGGGTTTTGTTGGAACAGGTGGAGCACTGGCAGGAGTATCTGGCTTTGGTTAACATGATTCTTTTCTGTACCGGCATCCCTGGACACTACCCAGTCAGTGAGACCACCAGCTCCCTTACACTCACCTTCTGGTACACCCTGCAGGTAAGGTAAATGAATGAATGAATGCTTTGTCAAGCTTTTGGGTTCCCATGTGGATTTATTTTTTCCACCTTAAACATGTTTTCTTTTCAGTTTAGTAAGTTACTCCCACAATAAACTTTGAGCATTTTGTTGAGAGACAACAAGATTTTTGCACCTCCTCTTGGCTCTGTTTTCAGGCTTTAGAAAATCTAGCCTGTGACGGGAGATTTTGGCCAATTACAGGTCATTTCAGAGAGAGGGCATTCCTACTGGCTGGTCTATGAATACAGATACATATGCACATCCCTTCAGATAGGGAAAGCCTGATTTAATGGCAGAGAATCCGGCAGGGGAGAGTTCTTATTCCAGCATTGGCAACAACTACCTACACTGCAAAGAAAACCCAAAGAGTCTGACAATAAACCAAACAAAACACTAGTGATATAAAAATAAAAGTTTCAGAGATGGAGAGAAAATGTTGCTCATAGTTTAGCCTTCTGCTAACTGGAGTCAAAAGCTCACAACTGTGGTTTCAAGTTTACATTTATTTAGCTAACATTAGCTAAAGCCTTGAATCACAGTCAGTATGTTTACATGCACATTTGACTACTGTCCTCGTCCGAATATACAGATTCACTGACCTAAGTATGCACTGCGATTGGTGGCAACATGCCCCCTTTTAGCTTGTTAGTATTGGACCCTTTTCTGGTTGACC